CCCCCCCCTGCAGCAGGTCTGACCCGACCGGCAAAGGTAAACACACCCTTGAGAGAAATCATGTTGTAATCGTCCGCCGGGATCTGGTCGAAGGGAAGCTGCTCGGGGCCGGCATAGCGCATGGCGTCGGAGACGATGTCGCTCGAGTCGATGTGCTCATGGTCCAGCTCCGAGGGGTACTCCGACTCGTCCGGCAGAAGCGGCTGCCCGGTGAGCTTGGTCATGTCGGCCACCGAGACCGGATCAGCACCAAAGTGCTCTGTGATAGGGTGGGTCAGGACGGAAAACATAAACACACACACACACACACATGTCCAAGGCGAAGGGAAAGGACATGGAGTGGGGGGAAGGCGGAGGAAAGGCCGGGGAAACATGCGCAAGAGTGGCTGTGTCGATGAGCGCACCCTTCAGGAATTGGGTCGCCTGGTTGTCCAGGTGCCGTTGGATGGCCTGCGAGCCGGACACTTCCCCAGCCGCGGCGATGAGGAACTGCACTCGCGAGCAGAGGGCCGGCGCCAGGTTCCGGTCCGTTCGCGACCAAATGGAAGACATCAGGCTCCCGAGGAAGCTTGTCGCCGGGTGCGACACCACCCCACCCCAGGCCATGCCGCCAAGGCAGAAGATATTCCGAGCTGGCCGCTGTGGCAGCTGACCCGGCGCATCGGCCGGCGAGGCCGGGGACACCGGGGAGCCCCCCTGGGCCCCGGCCGGAAGCAGGACCTGAGGCAGCGGCAGCGAGAGGGACAGAACATCCAACGGGGCGCCCAGACCGGTGACCAGGGTCTGCGCACAGGTGGTCAAATCGTGGAAGCCCAGCGAGTGGGCCAGGGTGTTGTGGACGCCTGATGTGGGTGGTGGTTAGACGGGGGTGCCGCCAAAGCATGCCCGGTGGCGGGCACGTTGGAGTCATGTACAAGGAGGAGGGCAGGGAAAGCATTCCCCACCCGGCCAAGATGGGCACCGCTGCGGGAGAAAAGGGAGGCGCGATTCAGGCCCCCGGCTCCCCCTCCGGCCTCCAGATCTCCCAGCCCATGGAGAGATGCAAAGTGTTGCACCAAAAAACGGCAGGACACCATTGCCGGGCCAATGCCACGCACCAGTTGGCAAAATGCAAATGGGCACAAGCTTGGCCAATGGCCAAGTCCGGCGCGACAGCAGCCCATGCACCACCTCGGCCACGGTGCGATCACCACCGACAATGATCAGCGCGTCGTACAGACGCGGGGGAGCACCACCAGCGGCAGCGGAGCCCGTGCCGACAGGGGAAATCGCCGCGGCCTCCTCGGGCTCGCCCTCATCGGCTCCGGGCCGTGCGGTCCCCGGGCCACGGCCGCGCACCACCCACGGCGAGAAGGACCGGGCAATCTCACGCGCGTGCCCGGCGAACATGGTCTCCGAGATGTCGAAGGTCATGTTGGCCAGGGCAGCAAGCCGGCGAAGTGCATGCAGAGTGGACGCGCCGTTGGACCGGGCAAAGGCCAGGTCATGCTCGTCGGCATGCGCCACAGCCGAAGGCCCGCGGTCCGTCAAGGCCGCGAGCACCGTCTCCCAAGGGGAGGGAGTGTACTCCGGCGAGGGGTCCTGATAGGCGAAGGACATGTTGGACGAGGAGGAAGAGGGGACCCCGGCCACCGGGTTGAAGATGACCTTGGCGCGGCGTGCGCGCACCGGCACACCGGCTGATGGCAATGGCGGTTGTCAATCGACCGAGGCGAGGGAGGGGGCAGCGACACACGTCCAAAGGAGGGGCGGGAGGACGCACGTTCGTAGGGCCGGCGCCGGGCCAGGGACATCAGGGCGTTGCGCCACTCATTACACATCCGGGCGGACTCGGCCTCGCTGGGGGCCAGACGAAAGCACAGGGTGCCATGGGGAACGGAGGGTGAGAAAAGGACAACCAGCATACCAGTGGCGACGGTGTGGCCGGGGCGCACTCCTCGGAAAAGACCACGAAGCGCAGGCTCCGCGCGTGGAGGGTCGACTCCTCGGCGCTATCCGTGGAGAAGACGTCCACCGGAGTCACCTGCTCCACGACGAAGGCATCTCGCGAGGCGGAGCATCGATGCACGCCCCAGATGTCGCTGATCTGGAAGTACACCGTCGAGCCTGACGGGGCCGAGGGGCCGAGGGGCCGGAGTCAAAGAGGGAGAGAGAGAGAGGGAGGAGTGAGTGGCCGGCCCCAGGGGGGGGGGGGGATTGCGGCGGCGAGGGCAGGCCGCCAGACAGCGATAGCAACAGCCACGGCGGGGGCTGTGGCCGAAGACGGGACGCACTCTTCTCGTCGGAGAGCTGGGTCAGGCTCCAGGTTTCCGGAGTAAGGTAGCCCTGGTAGAGCCGGCCCGCGTAAAGGAGCGGGCCCTCGAGGACGACGTCACTCGGTTGGTTCATGATGGGCTAGGGCGGCACCGGAGTCTGGCACACGGGCAGGAGGGGAGGAGAGAGGCGGGGGGGGG